AATAATTACATGTAGCTCACGTGAACTTACGTTGTGATGTCATTCAAAATGGACGCCTTCAGTTACGATACGCGATACTTACCCGGTCTGTTCCAACAGTTATTTTAATGTTTATTGATTTCATGTACATACCATAATATTCTTGTCTTGTTTGGTAAATTATTTTATTGAAACAATACAATAAATGTAAATACATGTATAATCACCAGAGGCAAACTCCGGTGTCTTTCATTTGTCCCGTGTTTACAGCACATGTAATTGTTGTTTCAATCGAAGTTATGCCCACCCTGAATAAACCGACTCCCTCTGAAAACCGACCATAGATCCCAGTCCCAGTCATGGTCGGTTTTGACAGGTTTTACTGTATTTATATTATATATATATAAAAATAAACTCAGAATATATTCGTTCTCGAATTATGTCTATATATATATTGAATCATAGCACAATTTGACTACGTAGTTTTTATTATATCAATTCATTGGGGCCAGTATACCATGCCAATAAAAATATTACGTATTATAATATAATACATTAATACAGTTGTAACAGATTTATTTGCACTGTTTCCCAACGTGCTCGTAAAACATTCTTTCTCACTACACTAACTGTCAAAATGTCATGTACATGGAGAATGATAATGAAAAGTGATTTGGGTTAAAAACAAACAAATCAAGGTAGAACTACAAATTACAAACTATTATTGGTATGTGGCTCGGAATTCGAAACTATATATACACATGTTATCGTGTGTATCATCGAAGTTGCATATAATAAATCAGCGTACCATATTGTCAATGTAACGACTCCACACTAGGTACTAAAATTCTCATTAATCTATTTGGTCCATGCAAACAGATTGAACTTTTTTCATCATAGCTAAATATCACAAAATACACCAATAGTTCAATACGCTGGTGGTTTTACAGATACATCTTGAATGATTGATTGATTGGAATGATATTCATTTTAATATTTCTCAGTAGTGTGTAATTTTTAACATATATAAGTTCAACTGTGGAATATATGGAAGAGTTCATGTTTTGCAAGAATACCAACAAAAAAAAACACACACAAAAAAACATGTCTTGATATATTCGTATGAAACTAACTGATACACTTATTTGTACAAGGTGTGAAATAATGGAAATGCAGACGCCAGAATCAGACATCTAGTCGCCAATCGCCGCCATGAATAGACAACGACTGATAATGACAACACAGCTGACACTGTGTTTTCTACAATTCAACTGAAAGCAACAATGGAAGACTAAAAATGAAGTAAAAAGTGCGAATGGCGTCATTCAGTCGGAACCATTTCCGGGAATACATATTAATGTAGTCATTCAAAATAAAAGTAAAAGGCTCTCTTCTTTTAATATCGTTCATTGTCGCAACGTGACTGTGTTTACATCGGTTCAAAACAGACTAAAGATCAAGCGTGTCACAGACCTGCAACTACAGCAGATTCACGTATAAAAGCGGTTGAGAGTTGGTGATTGGGAACATGGCACGGAATACGCAGTGTGAGAAACACGCATGGGTTCAATGATATACACGGTGATTAAATGACAGAGAGTCGTTTGTTGACTTGGAAACCATATCGATTGTTATTGATCAGACATACTTGCTTACATGTAATAGACCTGTTAATTACCTATTTTATGACATTTATGAGCCATAACTGGAACGCTTCTCTACCCATATAAGT